AATTCTGTTATGTATTAACTGATATTATTTTCAAGCTTAAGTTTTGCTTACTATTTCAGTTTTGATCTGTAATTGGAGCTCTTAATTTTTGCTTTAGTTGTTTAAAGTTAGTACAAGTTTAAACTGTAACTTTTGTAAACTTTAAAATTTAGGTTTGGCTGCTTTATAAAATTTTTCTTTAGTTGAAGTTGTTTAGTTTTTAATTTGAGTTTAGGGACTTAAGTTTACTTGGTTTTTGTACTTTTGTTTTGACCCTTAAGGTTGTTTAACTTTAATTATTTTAAAGTTTTGTTTGCTGCACTTTTAGTGTGTTAATTTTTTTTTTACTTAAGTTAGCTTAATTTTTTTACCCCTCTTTCTATTAAAGTTGTCTAATACATATTTTCTGACTGGCGGTAAAGTAAATCAATAGTAATTGAAATTCAATCTGGTTAATGAGTGGTTATAATTAAAATGCTGCTGAAGAAACAATTTATATAGTGCTGACATTTTTTAATTAATGATATTGTTATGTAATAGTTTATTTTTTAATGTCCCAAATTCATTTGTGCTGACGAAATATTCACTGGTTCTGACTATTTTCACATCACAACCATCAGCTGGAATTCATTCTCAGAATCATTATCAGAGGATTACCACACCCCGAAATTTTTTTGCCCATACGAAAAACCACATGTCGGATGATGTGTTGGATGTATATACCATCTGGAGTTTCACTTAAACAGGAGCCCAGTTGCTGTGACAGGAAAAGGTTCTACAGCGAATTTGTGAAGAGGGGGAAATAATCGTTGGATAGGAAGCTCTACATGGTCGAGTTGAACCTCGATGCGAGGCTAAATGCCCCCCCCCCTTGTTTTCGTCTGTGGAGATTATTGACACATTGGTGTGGCCTTGGAGGCCGAATGATTGAACTCGCTAACTGGCTCTTCTGGTAGTCGGGAAAGCCCTTCCCGTGAAGATTTCTCTGTTTGGGTTGCTGGATTTGGCTGGTTGCTGTTCACATTTTCACCAAATTTTCAAAAAAAGGCGCCAGCTATTAAAAGTGGCTGTGCAGGTTTGAGAGGGGGAGATGGAGAAAAGTTCTTCAAAATAAACTCTTTTCTAGACGGAGCTGTAGCGACAAGATGATACCTTCTTCTATCTTCTGCCTGGCAGACCCCCGAGAGCTGCAGGGAAAATAGGACCAACACCATATGCTAAGCCGTGAGGAAATACAAGTCCGGATCCATGATCCACTCAGAAGTGGTCTATGGAAGGTTAGACGTATCGAACCATCCTGACGGAATTGCTGCTTTGGGCGGAAAATCGGAGCCAGACCTCGTCGTTGTTGTTATCCTTGGTTGATTATTTTGTTTCACTAACTTCTATCTTTTCTTTTCAACAGATATGCTGCAAGCCTAGTAAAGATGCCTAAGTCCTACTACATATGTATTTACAAGATTTTGTGTGAATAGTTCCATACTTTTCTTAAAGTTGTGGGACCCCCTATGACCTTGTTTTTTTTTAAGGTATGTTTTATATTTTTGTGTTCTTCAGCTATGGTTATTAACCAGCCACCTCTTAATAATTGTAACGGAAATAGTGAGTATCATGACTCCATCAGAAATGTAACCAAATATCCTTTTCACCAAAAATAAACGTTAGTTTGATTTTACTTACCTTGTTGTAATTATTGTAATTAATTCTTTTACACTGAACCTTAGTCATAGGATGGGTTTTTTGCATCACAACACAACTTTAAGAAATTTCGAATAGTTTTATTGTTTATGTTTCACTATGATAATTCCTCGTATTGTTATATAATGTGATTGACACAGTAATTGGTTCAAAATGTCTTCTGCTGTTGCACATAACCATACTTTTACCTACTACAAATTTGGTATGAACATTGATTATGAAATTACACAGAAATGATGTTAAGTAGTAAATAAAACATTCAAAATATATTATGTTATATTGTTCTTTATTGTTCAATAGAATAATACGGTAACAATTCCAGTAGTCTTTCTTCTAGAGCCTTGTAGTTTAATTTCTTTACAGTTGCCAAGTGTGGCTTCTTTTGCCAGAGCGCCAGCACTGTCATTGACATGGAAATCTACATGTGCCTTAATCCAATGTATCTTAATATTATACTTCGTACGTAGGTTTCTATATTTCATTTTAATATTCACAATAAGTTTATAATCAAACCCAAGTGCAGAAAGTGATTGAAAGGCTGACAGGGCATCAGAAAATATGTGAACACATTGACCACCAGATAATTTATTTTCGATTCATGTCAAAGCCTCTAGTATTGCATATAATTCAGCCAGTATTTGTGAAATTTAATAAGAATTTTTTGTGGTCAGTCTCAATTTCATACTAATACACCACGAATGCGCAACCAACATTTCCTCCTAGGCCCGAACTTTCAGTATAAATATCATATTCATATATAGTACATATTAATCGATCATAATTTAGATCAAATTTATCTGCAGGCTGAATCAATTCAAGGCATTCTTCAAAGGCATCACTTTTTAATTCTATATTACAGATTTCCAATGATGTAATATATTTGTTTTTCATTAAAAATTTGTTATAGAAAAAGCCATATTGATATGAGAGGGAGGGACATACCAGCAAGCATACAAGCCACCTCCGTTGAAACGGTGTGAAAGGCAGTATTTGATTCTCTCCATGGACTTTCTTATCCAGGTATACGATCGACAAAAAGACTCATTTTCTCTCTTGTTTTGTATGGCCTTCTGCGACAAAGGCTCATGTTGCTTGGACTCGTGCTCACATCGACTGCCAGAAGTCAAAAGTCATATGGCATGCTCACAGTCCACTGCAGTCTTTTGTCGTACCCAGTTAATGTTTTGAAACAAGAACATGTGCATTTGGATGTAGTCGGACCCTTGCCATTTTCGGAAGGATACTCCTATCTTTTCACCCTTTTTGACCAATTTTCCCAATAGCCGGAAGCAATAGCTGGAACTGTTGCTCAAGCGTTTTTTTACTCATTGGATTGCTAGGTTTAGAGTTCCCGCTATCATAAGTACTGATCAAGGCTGACAGTTTGAGTGATGCATATTCACTACTCTCAATAAAATTCTTGGTGTTTACTGAATTCGTACTTCTCCACATCACCCTGCAGCTAGCAGATAAATTGAGAGATTCCATTGTTCAATAAAACAAGAGTTAATGTGTCATAACAATGTCCAATGGACAATGAGCCTTCCAGTTGTACTTATCAATCTTTGAGCTACATACAAAAAAGATCTGGGAGGAATATGCTTGGAAATGGTTTATGGAAAGACTACTCGTCTCCCTTCAGAATTTTTGCAAGCCACCCAAGTTTCTAATTTTTCTGATGCAATCTTGTTTTTACAGAAGTTGTGTTAGGCAATGAGAGAGATAGCACATGTACCTACATCTGCCCATGTTAATAAGTATTTCATGGACACAGCTTTAGAACCGTGCACTCACCTATTTGTGAGACACGATGCAGTAAAAACACCAGTGACTCGCATGTATGATTTACCATTTAAAGTAATAAAAAGAACTAATAAAAGTTTTGCCCTTCTAATTTGAAGAATAGAATCTGTGATCAGCACTGATCGCTTGAAACTAGCGTTTTTAGTTTCAGATACTGTGGCATCAGTTCATATTCCTGAGGAGACTCCTACAGTAAATATACCTCCAATGCAGATTGTTCGCTCCATCAGAAGAGTCTCAAGTTACCTATGTACCTCTGACCCTTTGTGCCTTTGGCACGTGTGTGTATGGGGGGTACCGTGGCAGACTATTTGCATTTTTATCATTTGCATGCAGTATCCATGTTTGCTGTGCTGTACCCATGCGCACTCACTATAATACTAATATAAAGAATTTAACTTTTCGCTGAGAGATTTTTTTGCACCTGTACTTCCCTGTTCCTCTTTGTTTAGTGGTCGACATTTGGCGTCGGCTTATCACCTCGTATTTTACTTTTTAATTTTAAATAAATTTTTTATTTTAATTTTAAATTTTATGTTTTATCAAAGTTTTTTGGCCTTCCTTAAATGAACCTTCTGACAAGTTTGAAGTGTGCTGGCATAAACCATCGCCACAAGACTAACTACCATGCTATATGGACCCTGTTGACCAAAAGACACTGTTGGTAAAGAAGATAACACCCTAAATAAAGCACCTCATATCCATGGTTTTTGAGCATTCCATCTTCCACCAGTCACTGTATTACATTTTGGAGAACAAGGCTCAAGTTCACTATCTGCCTTCAACATCCATATCAGAACTTGAGCATGTTATGACGGAAAAATAATATGGGATCTAATTACCTACTACCCATGATTTATATTTGTCCATTAAAGGAATTCAAGCAGTCATGAATGAAAAAATCACCATCAGTAATGGAATTCATTCCTAGTCCAAGTGTTTTCATACTTTTTCTGTAAATTCTGTATGTCCCAAAGATAAGTTATCAAATTATGGAACGTGTCCCTTTGACTTTTACGGTCTGAAACAAAGTAATACTAGTAATTTCTAATACTCAGTTAAATAGCCAGCATTAGAGAAATGCTATTTCTTTCATGTAAATATAATGAAATTAATTGAATTTTCTTTTTTTTTTTCTTTTTTTTTTTTTTTAAATCCTTAATGAGATTTTGTTACAATACTACTAAAAATCATTTTAATGTGCTATGTAACATTTATATCATATTTATATTACATAGAATGACAAACTAAATATATATATATATATATATATATATAGCTTTCTAATAAAACTTTTAGGCAGTGGAGGGATACTACATTCCTCTTTTATATTTAATACAATGCAATAATATACTTAAAAAGGTTACATTTCCAAATAAATATTTTGGGAGACTATAAAGACTATATTGTGGCATAAAGCTGTGCCTGCATACAGTGAACACTACCAAAAATTTCTAATACTCTGTTAATATATTAGACTTACTGTTTTAAAATAAGTATAAATCATTTAAGACACTTACTGTTTCAATACCTTTATTCCTACGACCAAATAAATATTCCAAAGCCAAAGTATTTTTAGGAGTTTCCGTTCTTTCCAAAAATTTGTAGCATACTGTCGTTTTCCCCTTTATAAAAAATAAAGAATAGTCTCAATTTTATAACACAAAATTAAGGTACTGCAACTAATTTACATACATAAATGAGATACTGTTAAACATATTTTATTCTAAAAATACATTATAAGTAATTTGGAAATTTTACTAAAATGTTGAGCATATATTTTACAATTTAGTTGGATTAAAGAAAAATTAAGTAATGACAGTATTTGATAAAATAAAGCATTACACAGTAAATAATACTCACTCCCTTTTTACTACCCACAAGTAAGAGAACAGATTCAGATGTTTCCCGCTCTAGAAATCAAAAATAAATATTAATCAATCAAACAATAATAAATCCTCAGTTTTCCAGTATAAGTATTATTTATTTATTACAATTATCTTTATTATATACAGAAAAAAGGTATGTAAATTCCAGAATGATTAAAAACTTCGACTGGCATCACTAAAATTAAGCTATGTGCATTTTGAGAGAAAATACTCTACACTTTCTTATGGAAACATTGATATGAGTCTTTCTTTGTCAAGAAGCACAAATATTTTACATTGTAAGTGATGTGTTAATACCTCCCTTAAAAGGTAATTTTTACATAAAAACAATATTAGTCTAAATTTTGCCTTAAACTGACATGCTTCTTTTCTATGTATTGATACTGATATCCTCTGCTCTTAGAAATATCGAATAAACAGACAAATCTTTAACATTTGAATATAATTAGAGCACTGCAAAATTTTAAGCATAATATTTGATATATATCTAGGTAAGAAATAATTTCTCATGGATTTTGCAATTATAATTCAAAGAAATAAATATTCCTAGAGATGTGCATGCAAGATAATTAACTTACATGCAAAAACAAACCTATAAGAAAAAAGTTAAAGAAGATGTATCTAAGATAGAATGTATTATGAATAACAAAACTTTTGCTGACTTTTATTAAACTTTTGTCAACGAATGGTATTGGCATGGACTTCTGATGTAAAAAGGATGACAGACGGACCAAAATTAAATTGAAAAAAATGGTCAAACAGAAGAAACACGAAGCTGGAAAACATGACTGAAGCAAATCAAGGAAATAGCATCAAACAGCAAGCAATGAAAGATGAGACTGAAGACTTTGTATACCAGGTTGATTTATCCCACCCCACGAAATATTCTTAATAAACTTTAAAAAAAAGTCTCCTTATCATAATGTTAATAAAAAAAGGGGCTGAAGACTCCATTATTTTTTAAAAATCTATAATATGATCAATATTATATTTAACCTGATTACATTGTATTTTAATGATTTATATCTTTAATTTTGTCTTTTAATTATGGTTTTATTATTAAATAGATTCAAAGAATTTTAATATTCTACACAACTAAGAATTTCCATTTAATTTTTTTCACTGGTTCACAGATTCTAAATTCGACAAATAAATTTAAATGATGGAAATACTTTCAATATGAAAATTAAAATAATAATATATATTTGTTAGAACAGGCTTCATACCAAAAATTATTCAATATTTTTTGCAAAAGAATTTGAAAGGAATTTCATAGATATAGGTATTTTATTATTCTTATTAGTCAGTTAAAATATTTAGCTGAGCAGTTCACTAACCGTTTTAGCTGAAGATCTACTATGAATAACTATGGTAAAAGTTAATAATAAACAGAAAGTATCTATGCCAAGTTCTTTTAACCAAAAAAGAAATAGAAAAATCTAGGAAATCAAACTTATGTTAGCTATAGTTTGGGAACAGAAGTTGTAATTAAGACATTACACAGACTGACTGTTTTAGTATTTATTGAATTGAAATCTTTTTATCATCATTTTTATTGTTGTGATTTTCCTTGCTTTTATTTATATTAAATCTTAATATAGAGTTATTCATAATTCCATAAAGTGTTTTAAGTATTCATACTAAGCAAACTATGAAAGTTATGCATTTTTTTTAATTACTTGACCTTTTTTTCAAACCTTTTTTTGTTATACTTCACAGATCTTCAGTGTGTCCAACTTTGTTTATGTGCTGGACATATACGCAATATATCCTTTCATCCCACATGAGTGCCAGCGTATCAGGATCAACTGGATCCACAGCATCAAAGATAAAATTTTGAAGATTCTAGAGACTAGCAGAGGCACTAAGACCATTGAGAAATCTCCAAAGGAGAAAGGAGTATGGGATTACAATGACAGTGTGGCCATTATATTAACATATTGTCTCCACAACTTATGCATCCTATCATTCTCAGCAAAATTTACTTTTACAGAAATTTTGGAATTAATTACTTTTACAAAATTAAGATAGTTTTACAGAATTTTGGCATGTTTTGACTATAATCACAGATACAGTTTTGATAATTTTTGTATTAATCTTTCAACAAGCACCTTATTGAAAGAAATAAGAACCATGGTGTTCATTCATTTGTGGCATCAATAGTGGCGAAAGTGAGCATAACTGGCACACGGGGCCAAAATACCTTTTTGGCGCCTCCCCCCCAAAAAAAAACACAGTGATATGATGAAAATCTTGTTTGGAGACCATTTGGCGGCGGGCATCATACACCCCTTTGCCCCTCCCCCTAGTTACGCTACTGGGCATCAAGTCGGCTTTCCATTATATCCAAGAAAATCCTCCAGATGAAGCATAAATGTCTGTCACATTAACGAAGGTAGACACATTGAACATTTGTGGAGGGGGCAGTCCTTAATCAGTTTATTTTAATGTAACAAAATCATAATTGTTATTATTACTTTTTTGGTTATGAAATTTTTAATGTTTCACTGACTTTTTCAATTGAAAACAATTCAGAATTTTGTTATGCTAGCTATGTTACTTCAGTATTAATTAGAATGTTTATAAATCTCAAATATATCAAATTTTGAAACTGAAATACTTAAATTCAAATTTTAACTTATGTTCATCTGAAATTCATATTATTTAAAACGTTTCAATATTTAATTTAAAAGAAACTAAAAACACAATAACATTTTGAACAAATTATTAATCAGTTCAATATAAACATGTCCTGAATGTATCATTAAGCAGGTCTTAATTGTATGCCCAACATATTTATTAATACAATATCAGATATGTTTCGAAGATTTTTATAAGTCTGCAGCTAATATTTAAATAACTTTGCAGTAGTCATTAGGAATTTGAGAGATACAAGACTATATGGTATTGTAAGAAAGCAGTAGAAAAATATTTTAATAACTTATAATATCATTTTATGCAACATTTCATACTAACCTTATAATACATAAATATATGTTAATACTTTTAATAACAAAATGTAGAAACACATAATTAGGAGTAAATTAAAAATCGTGTTCAGAATTAATCTTGCAGTAATACTGTAATTGAGAAAAAATACTCATGCTGGATATACTGGAAAATCTCATTTACCATATTCACTTTCTTTAACTTGTTCAATTGCAATATCCCATAAATTTTTCCTGGAAAAAAGTGCAATAATGTGTTTTACATCTAAATATCTATATTATGGATCAATTAATTAATAATTTTAAATATGGAGCAATATTAGAAAATATTTTAAACTTTCAAATAGTTATTCACTCTTTAAAAGAAAACACCTTATTAGTAATATAAATATTATTTTGATCATGGGATATTTTACAGTAACTTAACAGTCAATAAAAAATATTCAAAAAGAGCACAAGCATGAAATAGCTATTATTATTAACAATCATAAATACAATATTTTAAAGTGAAAGAAATTAATGGGATTTCTTTTAGCATCCGAAGCAAGAAGCATGTTTTGGTAAAATTTTTAACAACTTTATCCATCATTGATTTAAATCATGTCATATAATGCAAAAAGAAACAAAAATAATTTATGAAGACATGTTTTTGATTGATTATGGGCTGATACATTTTGAATGGTATTTTATAAACTGAAAGTATAATGTAGAGCCAAAATTCAGTTACTGATACAGCTGCTTCGAACACAAAACATAAATACACATCACATATCTTAAGAACTTATACAATGATTACTGTTGTGCAAAATTCTGTAAAACATGCAGAAAGCACGACCCAAAAAACAATACATGTAGCTTGATGTCCTTAATGAGATGCATCAGGTCAAACTTTTAAACAAACTTTGGCATTAGGATGGCAAAGTTATAAAAGCATCATTAGAATGAATGAAGGAGAGCTAAAATCTTTACAGGAAATGGTGATTCATTCAGAGAAAAAATATATTTTTTCGAGATGTTTTGGTAGCAAAATTAAAACTGTAGATATCATAAGGGTTTCTGACAACTAGAATTTCCTGTACTTTTCAATTATGCACCTGCCAAAGATTTTGGTGAGTGGTGGGGTTTTTATTGTAAACAATTTCTAGTGTGTGTGTGTATGTGTATGCATTTAAATATTTTCTAGTGTATGTAAGCAAACATACACAATAAAAAAAAGGTTTACAATTAAACACACACATCACAAAGACTCTATCATTGTTTCTTGATATGTATTTGGCTTCTCTTTCACAAGAATTAATAATGTGGCAGGCATATAACAGAAAAGTACAAAAATTTCTACAGTTCTGTGCAATATTTATTTTGAGTGCTGAAATGCACCACAAGCATTTTTTTTTTTTTTTTTTTTTTTTTCTGCAAGTCTGTGAGGCTGTCTTCTCATAATTGAAAGGTTTTATAAAGTTAAGAAAGACACTTTAATATAAATACTATTTATAAATTTAAATACATAGAGTAAATGATAATTTCTTGAATGAATATTGTTATATAAATATATACACATATTTTTAAATATGTGTGCATTTGTAACAAATAACTTCACTTTATATAATTGTTGATAACTCTTTTACTTTAAAGCAGTGATTATTAAATCTTGGATTACAAACCATTACTTGTTATCAATAGCATTTTTGGTAGCTTGGGTAAAATTTCGTCTTTTAAAGGCATATTAAAAATGAAACGAGTAAGCTCATATAATGCAACAATTACAAATTCCTAATTCTATAAAAACATAATTAAAAAAAAAGGTCATCTTAAATTCACTTAAGAAAACTACCAAACAGTTTGGATACTTAAAGAATTGAAAGACTATCTAGTTACATCATAAAAAATTTTGAAGACAACAGCTTTTAATCAGAAATGGAATTTGAGTGCAACTTGTCATCACAGCTTACAGAGTCAGCTATACAATCTCTTTAAACAGAAAAGTATCCAATTTTATTTTAAATAGCACTGTTGTGTTATAATTACTTTTATTACTTTAGATGTGATAATATGAAACTGTTCTTAAGCAAATATACAAAGAGAGTGTAATAGAAGCATTTTGATGATATTCGAAAGGTAGAAGTCTACTTGTAGAGACATTAGGTTATTTTGAGGCCGGAGAAATGAAAAATTAACAACTCCTTCGCCAGAAATCGAACCATGGACCTCTTAAATACCAGCTCAGTGTGCTGACCA